TAGAGGATGAATTTTCTGAAATTGAGGCTGAGGTTGAAGCACCAGTGCTGAGGAGATCCACGAAGGAAAGAAGACCATCTGAGAGGTATACACCTGAAAATTATATCCTGTGTGCTAGTGATGATGTTTGTGCATTTAGTATTACAGGTGATGATCCGAGCACTGTAAAACATGCGAGGAGCTCGGAGGATGCCAAACAGTGGGAGGAAGCTATGAAAGAAGAGATGAAGTCTCTGATTAAAAACCAAACTTGGAGTTTGGTGAATCTACCTGCAGACCGAAAAGCAATTGGTTGCAAGTGGGTGTTCAAGAAGAAGGTTGGTGCCAATGGGGAGATTGAACGCTACAAGGCTCGATTGGTTGCAAAGGGATATTCACAGACAGAAGGGGTTGATTATGGTGAGGTATTTTCACCTGTTGCAAAGTTAAATTCCATAAGACTGGTTTTGTCTGTAGCAGCTGCATATGACCTAGAGGTGGAGCAGCTGGATGTGAAGACAGCTTTTCTTCATGGTGATTTGGAGGAGGTTATTTTCATGAAGCAACCAGAGGGGTTCATTGCAAGAGGCAAAGAGGAGCTAGTCTGCAAGCTGAATAAATCTCTGTATGGCCTGAAGCAGTCCCCAAGGATGTGGTACATGAAGTTCGACACTTATGTGCTGAAGCTTGGCTTTGACCGTTGTGATGCTGATCACTGTGTTTATGTGAAAAGGTTAGAAGGTGACTTTGTTATTCTAACTTTGTATGTTGACGACATGTTACTCGTTGGAAACAGTTTGAAAATGATCAGCACTGTTAAAGGACTGCTAGCAAAGCAGTTTGAAATGAAAGATCTAGGCGCTGCAAATGTGATCTTGGGTATGCAGATTAAGAGGGAGCGTGACAAACGAAGATTATGGTTAAGTCAGCAGAAGTACATAGAAGATGTTCTGAAGAAATTCAAGATGACTGACTGCAAGCCTGTGTCTACTCCCATGTCTACTGGTTCTAAGTTATCGGCTGACCAGTGTCCCAAGACTGAAGAAGAAAAAGAAGAGATGGCGTCAGTTCCTTATGCTAGTGCAGTAGGGAGTCTGATGTATGCCATGATTTGTACTCGACCTGATATTGCTCAAGCAGTGGGAGTATTGAGCAGGTATATGTCCAAGCCAGGAAATGAGCATTGGACGGCTGTGAAGCGTGTGTTCCGCTATCTTCGTGGTACGTCTGACCTTGGGTTATGCTATGAAGGCGCGAGGGGCTCAAGGGGACAGACATTGTTAGAGCTGAGATGCTTTGTGGATGCTGATTGGGGAGGTGACATTGATAGTAGAAGATCTACAAGTGGATATGTTGTTTCTTCATTTGGCGGAGCTATCAGTTGGATGAGTAAGAGGCAGAGCACTGTTGCTTTATCTTCTACAGAGGCTGAGTACATGGCCTTGACACATGCTGTTAAGGAAGCTATTTGGTTACGGAGGTTGTGCAAAGAGCTTGGCTTTGCACAAGGAGAGATGATCGTTGGGTGTGACAGTCAGAGCGCCATTTTCTTGGCTAAGAACCCTGGTTTCCATGCGAGGACCAAGCATATCGGCATACAGTACCACTTCATCAGAGAGAAGATTGAAGACAAGGTTGTATTGCTGGAGAAGGTTGACACAAAGGTCAACAATGCTGATTTTCCGACCAAGGCAGTGACTTCGGAGAAGTTTGAATGGTGTACAAATGCTTTGGGATTGAAGAAACATGTGAAGCATTCACCAAGTGGCAGAATGTTGGGTATGGCTCATACTTCACATGATGATGTTGACCCTAATTGTCGGGGTCAGCAGAAAGGCAACTGGGGTCCCGCTCCCAGGTGAGCGGGCGGGGGTCCGGGGGGCAGCGCCCCCGGGCCCGTAGAGGCTAGGTAATGTTTAGGCCTCTGTTTCTATTGTAATTTTCTTAGCAGTTTGGGCTTGGGCCCATGAATAGCTGCTGTTAGGGTTTCTTGTAATCCTATTTATATTTGCCTTGTAAACCGAGAGACTTGTAACGAGTGGCGGTGAGGTGAATATAGTACAGACAAGCTGGACGTAGCCTATATTGGGTGAACCAGGGTAAATCATCGTGTCAATCTCTCTGCTCTTATCTCTTTTTCTGTTTTCTCGATTCTGTGTGATTGTCGATTTCCAACAATTGTTTTTTTTTTTTGTGTAACCGGGAAGTATCTTCATTTAACCTCTTCTGGTCACCTTGTCCTTGGAATACGACCCGAAGGCTATCCCCTCATTGTGCATTAAGCTTTGCTGTTAGAGGAATGATGAGACTAATCCCTCGTTCGAGATGAGAGGCATATCCTCTGTCTCAGAAGATTTTCCAATAATTTAAATAATCAAGTGATAAATAATAATTAATCCATATATTTTGTTAAGTAATAAATAAATCATTATAAACCAAATATGTTATCGTGGCAAGTGGTGTAGAAACCATGTGACAAATTTTTGTTGGCAAAAAAAAAAAAAAAACAAGTTCAGGAAAAACTTAAATTATACTAAACCGTTAACAAAATATTAACTAGAACATTGAATTTTTGAGATAATGATTTAATTAATAGTTAATAAAATACACATATTAATTGATGAACTAATAACCTGCTAACGTAATATATTTACATTATGTATTGATAATATATCATTTATTAAACACGATGTTTCATATTTGATCAAATTTTGTAGAATAATAATAAGAATTATTTATGGGCTTATGAGTGAAACTGATCGAGGCGATCTATGGAGTAGACTCCTCGAAAACAAAAATAATGTGGAAATAGAGGATTGTGTCATGCATATATGTGTGTGGCCTAATAAAGTGATGAAAAATTAACGTATCTTGGTGGGTAATGGCCGCAACACATTATTTTGCAGAGATGGATGGATCCCTATTCCCTAATGCTATGACCGGTGATATTCCTATCCACGTTAATACGCCGATGTAATTATAACGAGCGCAAAGCACGTAGCTTTTTTTCATTGCTCTGCTTATGTTACTTTTCGTTGGGCCATTTGTTTCAAAATCAACTTTGTTGAGGCAAGACGAACCCTCATAGTTGTACTTGTTGCCCTTTCATGGCAGTGTCAAAACGGAGAAGCTGGTGTGATGGGTTTTTCCAGATCATAGGTTGAACTAAGCTCAATGTTGATGGATCTTGTGGTGAGGAGATTTTAATTTCGTGATGAATCTGGTTGTTGGGTGCTGGGGTTTTCAAAAAAGTTGGGTCAGTTGAATTGGCATTTATAATCACTCACTCACTCGAGAGAGAGAGAGAGATCGACTAGCAACAAAGGAACATAACATGGTTGGTATCGTCGGGAATTTTCTTCTCCTCCTGTGGTACTATGTAGACTCCTTTCAAATAAAATGTGTAAAATAAATCTATTGTAGATTCATTTCAGGGGACATTTGGTACTGTAGAATATATTTTTTTTATTCGGAAATCACAGTTACTTGGAATACGGTGGGAACAAAAAAATTTAAGGAATGTTACGAAAAAGAATTTCTAGGAATGTTACGAAAAAGGTATTTGATAAGCGAAAATATTGGTTAATTTTTCTAAAGGGCTGTTTGGTTGATAACAAAATAATGCTGAGAATATAATGAAATTTTACGAAACTACCCTCGTAATACATAACTTTTAAAGACGATTTAGCTAGGGCACCGAGGGTAATTTAGTCTGATAAATTTGTGAAACACAAACCAAGACGTGGGAACAAATAATTACCATATTTTAAATGGTAATCAAAATTCACAATCGGTAGTGTAATATGGAAGCCAGAGAATAAACTATACCCAGTAAAATTTTATGTTTTTCTTCTACCAAATGTGGTGATAAAAAATTTTCACTTCCACTTTCCTAGTCATCCAAAATATTACAGTGTACCAAACGGCCCCTTATTAGATTTCGGTTTGTATAAAAAAATTGAGATTAATGTTTCAGCTGATGTTATTTTGTACACATAAATTAATGCAGGTGAGATCATGTGAAAAATAGAGATAAAAAAAAAACATATAAACTCCACATATTTTTATGTGTATATAATATAAAATTATGTCTTAACGATAAACATTAATCTAAAAAAATAATAATAGAAGAAGATATTATTAAATGGGTTTAATGTATCTCATATAGAGATAACTTATATCTAGCTTACCAAAAAAAAAAGATATAACTTATATATCCAGTGAACTCAGAATGATGTCGTTTTAGATTTAATGTATCTCATATAAACATAATTTACATTCAGTGATCTTAAAACGATGTCGTTGTCGTTTTGAATTTAAAAAGAAGAAGATATTTTTATAATTTTAATTTACTTTAGGGTTATTTAATTTTTATAATTATAATTTTTAATCTTCTAATTTCAAGATGAGTTCATTTTGAACTTAGTAAATATAATTTTAGGAGAAACATTAACTCCTTTATCTTTGTTAAATATGAGTTAGGATATTCTTACAACTCATTTTTTTTACTACCACTCTAATCACCATTGGATTAGAGGAAAAGTTGAATGAAGAGAGATAAAAAAAAATAACTTTTGAATCCTACCTCTTCACTACCACTCTAATCACCATTGGATTAGAGGAAAAGAATGAAGAGAGATAAAAAAAAAATAACTTTTGAATCCTACTTCTTCACTACCACTCTACTCACCATTGGATTAGAGGAAAAGTTGAATGAAGAGAGATAAAAAAAAATAACTTTTGAATCCTACCTCTTCACTATCACTCTAATCACAATTGGATTAGAGGAAAAGTTGAATGAAGAGAGATTAAAAAAAAATAACTTTTGAATTAAATAGTGATTAAAGTGGTAGTGGAGTGATAGTAGAAAAAATTAGTAATAAAATATCATACCTCCTTAAATGTAATTTGATTTTTTAAAACATGCGGTCATCAAAATTATTGTCTATTAAATCTTCATTAAGTGCGGTAAAAATTGTGTTGTAATTTTGGTTAAGTTTCGCAGTGTCTGAGGACTGAGGAGGAGCAACTGGAGTTCGGGATAGGCCACCATTGTTGCCTGCGTCGGGCAGAGTGAACGACTGAGCGACGTCGTATTTAATACTCGAATCTCTGCATTTGCAATGCTACTTCGTGCTTGCACTGCAAACCTCCTTTGGTCTCTGCACGCCGTTTTCAACACCCATCAGTCTCATCGTCTTCACCCATTTCCCATTTGCCTCAAGTTCTATTCTTTGGCCCCACCCCAGGTTCCAAAACCCTTTACCCATTTCTACCCTCTTAACAATTTTCTCTCAAATACAATTTTTTTTTTTTTTTCTTCTTCCCTTTTTCTTAATCATTTCATTCTCACCCAAACGCGACTTTGTACTAGGTTTATGGCCACTTGGTCGACAATTGTAGCGATTTTTTGCCATGGTTGGAGCGGAAAGCTGGTTCTAGGATTTCGTCATCGCTATCGATTGGGAATTCTTCATACGGAAGGTACTCTGGTTTCTCTGCTAATTGAGTTTGATGAGGTTCACTCTCATTGAGTAATAGGCTTTATTTTAATTGTGCAAGTATAGAATATTGTTGCTGCAAATGACCTTATTTTTCTTTTCGATAAAAAGACTTGGTATTTATTGAAGAAATATTAACAGTTAATTTGGGATCAGTTGTTTGAGGATTAGATTCTTCATAATGGAATATTGGAATGTTGAAGCATTTTTTCTGTTTATCTTATATATGAACTCTAATGTCATTACTTCTTCATATGTGGCTTGCATCTAGGTCTCTGTTTGCTTCTAAGATAATACAAACTGGAGATTGCATTTTAAAGGTTCCTTTCAGTGCGGTATGCTTCCCATTTTAAATCTTACTTGAACTTTATGTTATGACATGACTTTGACCAATAACAATGACATCTTGCTCTTGATGTTATTCACAATTGGTTTTGCAGCAAATAACTGTGGATAATCTCCTTCCTGAAATCAGAGCTTTAATCGCCGAGGAAGTTGGAAATATTGCGAAACTTGCCATTATTATTCTAATTGAGCAGAAATTGGGTCAGGTAGCCTTGTCATCATGGTCCCGTGACAAATTTTTCACTCGGTAGAAACTATACTGAAGCTTAGGAGTATATATCTGTAATATCTATGTCTTTATGATAGGGCTCTGAGTGGGATCCTTATATCAGCTGTCTTCCACGGCAGGGAGAGCTGCATAATACGGCAAGTTTTCTATCTTTTTAATATTTTGAATAATTTCTTTCTGGTAAAAATGCTCCTTTTTACATGCTGTATTACTATAAGCTACTTCTCTTTCCCATAATTACAGACTAGTTCAGTTATGAACACATTGTGCAATTTTAAGCTTTGAAATAATTAATCTATGTTTATTCTTATGCTTTTCATAATAATTTTCTGTTTGAAGGATTGTTTACATTTATCAGAGAATAAGAATCACGAAGATCTTTACTGTGGGTATTTTTCGATTTTTTTAGATATTTTGGAATGAAAGTGAGTTGGAGATGATTCATCAAAGTTCAGTTTATCAGGAAACTATTAACCAAAAGTCTCAAATTGAAAAGGACTTTTCGGCAATCAGCCCTGTGAGTACTTTGGATGCTTAATTTTTAATATACAAGTTGTTTTTCAATCAATTTATGTTTGAATTTTTATTCTAATGTATAGTATGTGACGGCAATGTTTCTTTCATCTGTGAAGGGGAAATAAACTAGGATCAGAAACCTTGGTACAAAATGGAGGTTAATTAGAATCCAGAAAACTCTTTAGAATTCTAGCATCTCTTAAGTCATGATGAAGAGATTACTTTTTTTATATAAAACATGTGAAGGTTTTTTCTATCTAAATGAAGAAATTAAATGTTTTCTTACAATGCAATATTTAACTGGGTCAGAGTATTGAGTCTCATTTGAGTAATTATATAAATCAATTTGGCTACTAAATCTTGAGTGAATGACATCAATAAAAGAGCTAAGCTTGTGCACAAAATTTAGCTTGTTTAAATCTCAGGCTGGGCATTGTTTAACTGAACAAGCTTGATTATACTATTGCTTGGCCTTGGCTGCTCCAGCTTATTCAAGTTGGGCTTCAGATTGTGGATTAGAATATATAATAGTTTGAGAAAAACAATCCAACAAATTGAAATTAGTTCAACTCACATTATAAATAAGACAAATATATAAGACTAATTCACTTATGAACATTCAACCAGGATCTCTCTCTTTCTTTCTCTCCATAGATCTATTCGGTGTGTTATTTCATATCTTAATGTGGCATGTCCCTAATTTTATCTATATATATTATATTGTTATTCTTTGGGAGTTGAAAGATAGTTATTGAATGTTCTAGCTTTTGGAGACTGCTTATGACCGACCAAGTTTGTGCTTCTAATTCAGGTTTTTGAATGTTTCTGTCAAAGTCTTGGAGATTTTACTTACAAGGACTTCATGCATGCTTGCACACTAGGTAAAGCAATCACTTCAAATTTTGTACTTCCCTAGTATACAGTACAGTGATTTTAAATTTTTAATTGATCTTTATATATGAGATAGAGGAAGTGCATGTAAATAAGCTTGATTGAACGAATTTTTTGGGTTGTTTGTTTTTTGTTATACTTTGTTGTTGATAAACTTGTCTACAATAAGCTTACGTGACAAGAATATTATGTGTTGATAATCATATAGACATATATAATTTATTTTTGAAGGTAGCTGTAGATAATTGTTTTTTGGTTAGTTATTTTTGTTAAGTTGTAATTTGTTTAGTTAAGTGCCCTAACCCCATTGCTGTCTTTGGAGGCAATAATGTAGCTAATTATGTGTTGATTATTCTGTATATCTTTGCTAAGTTCATCATTTGTTTAACCTCAAAGAGAGCTTTAGAATTTGTTACTGTTCTAAATTCTTAATAATTAGTTTTCATTTACTTCCTATTTATTTGTATCTTCTCACTCACTACCGGCTTCACTCCTTGCTTGTGTGTCTTGACTCACCCACATTCCAGATTTATCTGACTTTTCAATCAGTAAACTGACCTAATAGTTTCCTAGTTTCTGGCTTAATTTATCATTCTGTCAAACATTTGATTCTATCATGTATTCAGAATAGTTTAGAGAATTGTCATTCTATAATCAACTTGAGTTTTCAATTCTCTTTCTATTGGTAGCAGTTCTGTTAATATAACAAATGCACTTGTGTCAACGTGCTGTTGTCAACTTTTTCAATTTTTGGACACCAAGTTACTCGCATGCATTTCTTTCCACCTGCTATATATATATATATATATTGGCTAAGTTCTGTTGGAACTCAAAATTAGTTGTCTTGTTTGGCATTGAGTAATCAATATGATGAATTCTAATGATTTCTTGTCAGTTCAGAAGCCAAACAAGGCTAAGTATCTTGATAGATTATCCACTTTAGTAGTTCCGAGTCTCAGTCATTTAATTTTGTTCTGTTCAGTTGTTGTTCTACATTGTTTTGGCTTTGTATGGATGATATGACCTTCCCGATCATCCTAATTCCATATGTTTTTCTCTTGTGTATCTTTACTCAGACTGAATGAAAAGCGCTGATAAACCTATTTATCATTATATTGCATTGAATATGAAAATTCATAATTCTTTTGATTTTTTTAATGTCAAATTACCAGTTGGTTCTCGAGCATGGGGAAGCACAAAGGGTTTATCTCTGGTATTGCTACTGTACTGAGACTTCTTCTTCTTTTACCCATAATTAGTTTCTGAAATATTTTATAGATTCCATTTGCAGATTTTTTAAACCATGATGGGATTTCAGAAGCAATTGTAATGAGTGACGAGGACAAACAATGCTCAGAAGTTCTCTCTCTCTCTCTCTTTTGACTTGTATCTAATCTATCAATGGTTATTGGAGTCTAATTAAAATGGTTACCAAACATGTTTTTTTATTTTTATTTTTTCTAATACATGAAAGTCAAATTTCATTGTCATGGTCTTGGACATTAATAATTCATTTTTATCATATTCAATCTCTCATATGTTGTGCACAATTTTCTTGTTATGCCATCTCTAGAACATACAAGACGGAATTTTCCTGGAGGAGGAAAAGAGAGAAGGGATACTCAAATAATGTTATATGGGATTGATATTTTAATGTGTATAAAATATAAAACATTATTGTTACTAAAAAAAATGCGAAGTACTAACATTTATTTATTCTATAATAAGGTAAAGTACTAGTATAATACTACCAGTACAAGCCCAAGCCCAATACAATAAGACTCTTGAGCCTTGTCAAATAAGGAAACTACACCTAACCTTTCTCCTTAATAGTAATTAATTCTACAATATGTAGATGTTATGAGAACTGAAGATATTCTAACACTTAGATTTTAATTTAATTTTTGCAAATATGTGCAGGTTACGGCAGATCGTAACTATACTCCTGGTGAACAGGTGATATACTACTTTATTGGAGCTATATGTCGTCTCTTGTCTCATTTGTGCTAATAAACTTATATAATGAAGTTGTGCTTACTTTTCTGTATTCTGCAAGCTTGAATCTTTTGTGAAAATTTAGTTTCGAGCTTTAAACAACCTTCACTGATATCATTCCTGAAAAACTCACCACTGATTCTTTTTATTTCTTAAATGATTAAACAACTAACACTGCATTGAATTTTGTGCTGTGCTCTATATCATTCCTGAAATTTTTTGTTGAAAAAAGATATAAATTGAAATATTCTTGACTGCAATTGCAAAGTTAAAATATCAGCATTTATTAGTCAATGCAAACACGTTAGCAACTCTTTACATATGCTCTTCCTAAAATAGCTCAATAATAAGAGCTTAGGAAGGAATTCCTTTTCATTTTGAACTGGAAACTTTAAAGAAGAAAGCTAAGTTTCACTATTTGGCTCTGGACATTTTGAGCCCCATAGGTTTCTTAGTGAGCTTCAAAGGATTATCTTATAATATTTTTGAGTAGAGAAAAAAAGTAAAGTTGGTTCTTACTTTAACTTAAATATGAGATTTCTGGATTTGAATAGCTTCGCTATTTTTTATTTTTTAATCCATCTCTCCGTCGTATTGTTTTGAATAACTATCTGATATTTCAATTGCTTGTCATAGTTTTGATTATCAATTTGTAAAATTTGTCACCTAGTGTTTTGAGGGTTTTCTACTTCTTCTTTTTTTTTTTTTAGGTACTAATAAGTTATGGAAAGTTTTCAAATGCTACATTGATGCTGGACTTTGGTTTTACAATTCCGCAAAACATTTATGATCAGGTATTCCTTGCAATTGAATTTCAAGTGGAATACAATGTGTTATGATGTGTTTTTCCTTTCCTCTGGCTTGTTGCTTTATTATTGTTATGATTAAACCAGCTATCCTGATTGAGAATGCTAACCATTCTCAGGTTCAGATCCAGTTTGATATACCTAAGCATGATCCACTGCATGACATGAAGTTGGAACTCTTGCAGCAAAACTCTGTGCCTCCAAACAGAGATATGAAGGACTTGAAGTACTCTGTGAATTCCTTCACAATCAAGTTTGCACTGATCCCTATTTTTTTATTTGTCATGCAGAATTATCTAGATATTTATAGTCTTATTTTTGTATACTGATTCTTGGCAACGGGGTCTTTTGACCAATGTGAAAAATGATTCTGCTTTGGGAGTCCAAATTGCCCTCAATGCTCCTGAATTCAGTGCTTACTTTCAGCAGACAAATCGATATCATTTGCTTCTCCCTTCCCTTGTCTACCAATATTGGGCACGTACAACCCCACCTACTGATCTTCAACGGTTAAATTGCAATGTTACTTTTGATCTGTTTTCAATGTTTCTCTTTATCACATTCCGTTCACTTTTACATATATTGGGCACGGATATCTTTAACTAACTATTTTGCCTTGGGATTTATGTGTCTCGCTGCATGGAATATGGTTGTTAAATATTGTAACCCTTTTCCATATTTTTGAAATTTGATAATATAGGACATCCTGATATGGTGTTACTCTAAAATGTTTCTTGCATACTTTGCCAGTATTTGGCTATCTGATGGGAGCTATGATCACATAGGGAAGTGAGGTCTGCTAGGGGAAAAGGAAAGGGTCTTCCACAATCACTTCGTGCACTTGCTCGTGTTCTTTCTTGTACCACTCCTCAGGGTGCGCATAAAATCTTGTTTCTTTGTTTTTTTTTTTGTAATGCAATACTGGTTACAAAGCTTCCCACCAAAAAAAAAGTTTACCCTTGTTAAATAAACTATACCTAACGGCATCCACTTTTTGTAATTTTTATTGATCAACTATCAGAACTTAACGATTTGATGATGGAAGCTGCACAAAATGATGGTCGGATGGCTAGACGCCCTCTACAGGATATCAACAAAGAGATTCAAGCACACATGATGTTGTCATCATTTTTCACTCAATTAATTGAGGAGCGCAATGCAACTATTATGGTAAAGATTTAAGGACTTTATCTAATATTTAGTTTTATGGTTGGTTAAACCTCTAAACAAGATGGCAACCGAATTAGTATCAACTTGAGACAAAAATGTATTTGGGTAGGCGTTTGTATCACAATGACTTAATCAGATAGGTAATCTAATGAAAGATATAAGGAGTATTATAATGTATGTTCCATATGTTATATCAATTGCTTCAAAGACCTTATTGTTCTTACATTGGACATAAAATGTGCTTTCCACACTTGTGTGCAGGCATTGGATTCTTGTAATTCTCCCTCCATGTGTGAAAGAGTTGCTGTTAGAAGACTAATGGCTCGTGATCTCCTACATGGTGAGCTTCGCATTCTCAAATCCGCTTCTGCCTGGTTGGACAACTACTGCTTTTCCTTGATTTGATGATCAGTTAATGGCTACAACCACAGCACTATCAGAAAGGACAAGTAGGAAATAGCATATTTTTGGTTTTTGTTATATAACAAAATATCAGTTAACAATATCCTCAACGCTGGCACACACACACACAATTTTTTCTTTAAACACGGTATTGAATTAAAAAGTAAAATAATTATTATTGAGAAAATTATTTTAAAAATTGAGAAAATTATTATATTGTTTTTATTAGGATTAGATGATATAAAAATAATTATTTACTTTTTCCTTCCCGTATAAAGTGTTTCTACATCTAAAAAATGTATTAGTTCTGTTGCTATTTTGTAAATAAGATTTCAGAGTAATATATTTTTTAAGAGCAATATTGTTTCTATTTTAAGATAGCAGCTTGTAATTAAAGTAGAGGAATATCTTAAAACAAAAAGAATACCATTCTTAAAAGGGTTATATTTTTTCCATTTCACGTGAGAAAAGTTAAGTTGCTATAAACACAAAATAAAGGTGGGTTTTTTTTTTTTTTTTTTTTCCTCCTCTTGCTTGTGTGTCCCGCTTGTATATTTTCTCAGACTCTCTACTATATGAGATAATGTTTCTCTTGTAGCATGAGAAAAAGGGTTGTATTTCTCTCATTTTACGTTAGAGAAATCAAGTTCCTACACATAAAATAAAAGTGAGTTTTACCTATTTTTTTTTCTCTCCTCTTGCCTGTGGGTCCCGCTTGTAATATTGTCTCTGCTACATGAAATAATTTTTCTTATGTAGCATGAGAAAATGATTTCCCTTCTTAAAAGGGTTGTATTCCTCTCATTTTATGTCAGAGAAATCAAGTTCCTACATACGTCAGAGAAATCAAGTTCTTACACATAAAATAAAAGTGAGTTTTACCTATTTTTTTTCTTTCCTCTTGCTTGTGGGTCCCGCTTGTAATATTGCCTCTGTTACATGAAATAATTTTTCTTATGTAGCATGAGAAAATGATTTCCCTTCTTAAAAGGGTTATATTTCTCTGATTTTATATTAGATAAGTTAAGTTCCTACACACAAAAGAGAGGTGGGTTTTACTTCTCTTTTTTCTCTCCTCTCACAAATAAGAATGTTACTAGTTGAAATGATGTGTCCCAAATAAAATGATAATTATATGCATCATTTAAAAGAAATTATAATAATATTTACAAAAAAAAAAAAAAATTATATTAATCAAATTATAGTAGGTCAGTTGGCATATGTGAGCTGGAGCAAATGGTGTGAGAATATGTGTTTAATTCTCATCAGTATCATCTTTAGAAGAGGTTTAAAGTCTTAATTCTAAACTTGTCCCAAACATGATTGTCTCCTGTATTGAATATTTGTGGTATATATATATATATATATATATATATATATATATATATATATATATATATATATATATCAGAAAAATATTTCTGCAATTATTGCAGATAAGTTATTTGCATTTACTCCTAAAATGACGTTATTTTGTGATTGAAATATTAAAAAATTATAATTATAAGATTATAATAACCATGAAATAAATTAATATTACTGTAGATAACTTATTTGTAGTAACTGCAGAAAAAGCGAACTATATCTATTTATATATATCCACACTTCTTTATAATTTATGTAAGGTTTGACCAGTCGAATAAATGCAAGTTAATTTGCAACGAAACTGCCAAGTTAGTTGTCAACTTTCCCCGCCCTTTTACCAGAAGAATCTTCCAAGTCCATCATTATATATAATAGAATGTAAAATCAATTTAATTAAAGGCCACCTAATGTATATTACGGTGCAACGAAACTTTAATTATATATATGGAAAAGATCAAAATTCTCTTGTAAATTTTCTCTCCGACTTTGTTATCACTTATTTTGCTATATTTTTTTTTTATTCAAATCTATTATTAACACTATTTAAAGTTTAAACTTGACTTATCTGTTCATTTTAACTTCTTAAAAGAAAAATCGTTGACTAATTTGTTCTTTCTTAACACTATGATTTTGCCATCTTAAGAAATTATTGATTTTTCTTTGAATGATTGCGATCGTGATCTTGAATCAAACTTTTAATCCCTCTTCCATAAAAAAATCTTCTGTATTATAAGATCATAATAGATATAGTTAATTGTATTATTATTTTTTCTAATTTTAATAAATGATATATCAAATATTTAATATCGGGAGTATAAAAGATATATCCGTCTTCCATCTCTATTCTCACGTTACGTAAATATTAATTAGCATCATAAATAATAATTATTATGTAATAATTGATAATGATATTATCAATAACTTAAAAATTTAAATTAAATTTATTAGTCAAATAATAATTAATATAGTAAGTAAATTTTATTTGTCCAATTTTTCGGATTTTTTGCAAATTTAAAATAATAACAATATAATTATTATTTTGATAACTTTATTAACGTAAATTTTGTAAAATTTATTGTTAATAACAAATTTTTTGAATATTTGACCAAAATTTTCATCTCTCGAAAATTAAATTATTCTGATTTCTCACATTTGGGATTTTTTAAAAATAAAACAATAGTTGGATAATTAAAAAAAATAAGAATTATAGCATAAAAATCATATAATTTTACTAATAAGATTAACATTCAAGTAATTAAATGTGTTGTATTACTCACCTAATGTATATGGTATCAAATATTTGAATTTTTTTGACAAAAGAGAAAGAAAAGGAAAAGTCAATCATCATAATTCATAACAATAAATACATATATCACCTAATTTATAAAATCATTAATTTGATAAAAATCCCTTATTTGTAATTTATGTAAGGTTTGACAAGTCGCATAAATGTAAATTAATTTGCTTTTAATAAGTTGCCATGTATATCAATATAAATAATAAAATGGCAAATCAATTTAAATTACTGACCGCCTAACATTTATTAGGGTTTGACCAAACCTCAGATATAAATATGACTAATAATATGTGTGCTGATTGAGATCCTTAGGAAAAATAAATATATATCAATTGGTGAAAATGTCTACATCAATTCATGGACTCGTCTTGTTTGTTGTTATGATGATGTGTTTGTATAACTCAACATTTGTAGATTCTGTCAATAGGTCTGAAACTCCCACCAATCTTTCATCTATCCATTTGGAAACCCAATCAAATAAGACCTATGAAGCACCGATACTCCGAATTTTTTTTTCCAACGTATCCGATACGCGTATCGAAAACGTATCGAAAACGTATTGTATCGTATCGACGAATTAATGGTCGTATCGAGAACGCATCGGGAACGTATCGAAAACGACGTGTCGGAGTCGGTGCTTCATAGAATGAGACCAACATCAACGTACTCTTCTTTTCCATTCAAAATGACATGACCCACGGCGCAGTGCCGTACTTGTATTACAGTACCGAAAAATCTCCATACTATTTGCAAAAAGGAAAACCTTTCACTAAATTAGCCAATTTGGATCGCAAAGTCTGTCAAATATATTTGGACACAAGCCCACTTGGAACAGAATCTGCTCTAGTTTTCTATGTGTACGATCCAAGCGTAGATGGAAGCCATCATAAACTCTTTTGGTCTGTGAGAGACGATGGTTTGTATAAGAGTTACGATAACCAGAGCTGGAATAAAAACATGAGTTGGGGAGGAGCATGATGTTGAATGCTCCACTTTCACAATTCAAATAAAATTTATGTCTTCTTGTTATCAAGTCGTATGTATTACGAATATATAATGGTTGCTCTTGTTCTAGTTTTAGTTTCCTTCTCGATTAATTTGTTTTGCAATACAAAGCTAAATCAATATTTTGCTTTTCATTTACTAGGAAATATAATGTGCCATCCATTTCTCAGCTCTCATGAAAGTAATATTTTAATATTTTATAGATTAGCAAAACTTCAGCTTTTTATCTATGTAGATACTCTTTCACGATGCCATGTTTCAATGAATAATAGTACGTGGACCATCTTGTTTTAGTCCAGAACATGCATGTCTTGGGAGGGAATATATATTTTTTATTTCAAAGGGCAATTGTTGTTTACGTACGCATGGGTTTTGTCTCCACACGCTTAGCTTCTAAAGATGATAAGAATAAAATATTTGAGTTATGCAATTTTCATTTCAATATTTAATTACTGATTGTCTTCACTTTCAATTATCACTCTTTGTTTTTATTAGTGCTAAGTTCATAATAATAATAATAATAATAATAATAATAGTAATTATAATAATAACTATAAAAAAAATTTATTACATAAAGAGATTAGCTGAGTTATTACAGCTTGTTATTCCATTATTTTTAGAATCATTTTAACTATAACAGTTTGATGATTTTAAATAGTTTAGTAATAATAAACAAGCAAACAAATAATCATAGTTTTTATTTTAAAGAGCTGATTTTAAAATATTCCTTCCCCCATTTATTTTAATCTATGCATTATTTTTAAAATATTTAATGATATAAATATACAAGTTTTATACATAAAGTAAGTACAAATGAATACAAACTATATATATATATATATATATATATATATATATATGTATATATTATTTTAAAAATTCAATAAATTATTAACAGTTTTTAAAATTTATTGTTATTTCTTGATATCTTTTTTTTTTTGGTAAGCTCTTGATATCTTATTTAAATAGAATAAGAGATAGCATTAAATATGTTGAATATTTTAAGAATTGGTTTAATTTTAAAATATTTTATTTTTAGTTGAGTAAAAAATAGAAATTTACTTAAATTCGGTTGAATTTAATTGAATTTGACTTTATTTTTGTTTAAATTGTTGTAGTTAATTGTTTGACTTTATTATTTAATTCCTTTTATTTATTCCAAGAGCAATAAAATCAATTACAAATACAAAAATATGCTCTAAACATGTAATTTGATTTATGATAAATTTAAATTAATCTGATATGTCCCTAATTTTATCAATATATATAGTTTATTCTTTGGGAGATCAAAGATAATTATTAAATGTTATAGCTTTTGGAAACTGTTTTATTAGTTCAATCCATCGTAAAAGGAAGTTAATTACGAGCTCCAATCTTCGTTTGTCTTTTTTAGCTGAAACTACTAAGCCCATATCTACTGTTGAAAAACAAAATCAATATTTCTAAGCCCATATCTACTGCATAATATTTTAAAAAA